GTTCAAGCATTTAGCTTTTGCAACATTCACCAAAATTAAGTATGAACTCATGAAATTTTGTTTGCTTGCAGAAGTATTGATGTCATATTTGGAACTTTATTTAATTCAGTGAAACAGCTGTGGTCTTCATTCTGCTGCACTGCTGTTGGTGATCCAGAGCTGAGCTGACAAATCACATTTACTCCAGATGTTGTTTTGCATTTCTTGTAACACTTATTCCTCAACAAAGCTGTTTAGAGACGACTACATTTTAGGAAAACATAATCATTTACTACATCAATTAAAAAGAGAACAGGGTCTGATTTGCAAGAGATCACTTTAACAAGTTAAAACCAGAAATTTTCAGTAGGAAAATATATTTTCATTTATTTTAAACCTCCCACATGATTCAGTCTGCTGAGCAAATTACTTTCCAAATATTGTCTAAATCTTACACCAATTTTTATTATGAAATATGCTAGTGTACAGGAGAGCAAAATACAATGCACACAACTAATGCAAATGCCAGCGCTCAGATGATTTAATGTGCATAATTTAGTACACGTCTTTCAAATACACAGGAATAGTGTTCTAACAGATGTTTGAAAAATGCTTAAATAATAATAAGCAGAGCTGTTTTCTGGAGCTGTTTCAGGAAGCCAAGATTTTCTAGTTGTAAAGAAACCAAAAGCATTTAGGTCTGTGCATTTTGCATGCATATGATGCTAGCAACTCTCTTTAAGTCAGAGTCACTGTGAAGGGTTGAATTTAATTTCCCAATAGAGCATAACAATCCACATAAATTGTAATATCTAAACAGAACTGTAAACACTCCATATATACATAAATAATAATGATAACAATAATTATTAATAAATCTGAATGTAATGAGTGTTTTTAATAAGCTCTGCCATCTCTCCATTTCTGTTTGCTCTGAGGGTTTTGAGATTTATTCCTAATGAAAAGATTGTTACTCACATTAGAGGGAAAAGGTTTAACATACTGCAGAGGCAGGTGCATTAACTGCAGATCCCAATAGCTTTTAAAAGCCTGCGAGGCTAATAAATGCTTGAAATAGCCATGTACTATTGTAAATTCAAAACACAGCCCACAAATTAAGAAAAGTCTGTTCAGCAGTCCCTAACAGTCTGACTCCCTTGCGTCTTTCCTTATTCACTCAGAAAATAATCTTAGACTCATGAATAAAAGTTTTGTCTTTCATTTCTATTTTTCTCCCTGTAGACAGTTAAGGGCTTGGAATCAGAAATTCAGTCTTTTTTTTAAAAGAGTGTGTGGAATTTCTACACATTCCTTTGAAAGACAAAACGGAAGATTAGTAAGTTTTAAAAACAAATCCTTAATGTTGAAAAGAAGTAAGATGAAACATTTTTCTAAATATGTACAATACTCAACAAAGCTAAAAAGATTCTTCATCATATCAAGAATAAAAATGACGTGCAGTTTTCTATAAAAAAAACCCAATTGCTCTTAACCAATAGTAAGTAAATATTTGCATATTAAGAATCCAGGTTACCACCACATTATTCCAGCAGACATCTGGTGCAGTTTGTTGGAACCAAGGAAATTATATCTGTGTAAGAGTTTGGAATTGTGCAGTTGTGACCCAAGCTCTAGGACACTTAGTGATTAATGCTAGTGATTAAATTGCCAAACCAGTAGCTACGGTTTTCCAATTTTCTAAAGAACATATACAGCATGCACAACTCTTTTGTAAGGTAATTACATTCCCCCATATGTTTTGTTGCCCTGTTTTCTCTTCCAAAGGTTGCCTAGTCTCCAATCTTGTTTTGTTCCTAACTCTGTCCTAACAATGTAATTTTGTGCCAAACAGCACAGATTTTCACACTGGGAAAACCTATCCCCTGGTAAGCAGACCAGTGTCATTGACCTGTTTCAGGCAAGCTAACGAACAGCTAGCTGTTGGCTTCTGTTTATGACTTTTGGCTATTATTAATGTGTTTCAGACTTCAGTCAGAATTGGTTTTTAGTAGCTCTTCCCAAAGCATGTTTTCTTATCAGAATAAATTATGGGCACATGCACCTATGCGTGTGTGCATTAGAATTTTGTTGGAGAAGCTGCTCATGGTCTGATTTATTCCTCTTTC